AAAATTGAGATATAATAGTAGGATGTCAGAAACACCCCACGCGAGTAATTACGTTAAAAAAAACACGTGAGTAATGTAGGGTTAATGAACGTGGCAGGTATAAGAAATTCCGTCTATACTCACGGAAACATAAAACGCGCGTTGTTAGATTCGCTCAACTCGCATGAAGTTTTTTAATATGCACCACGTGATTCGATGCGTCAAATTTTCCCTCGTTTCTCTAGAAGGCGAGCAAGTGCTTTCTCTTACGTTTCGCATCCCGACGCGTGTATGAGCATGTAAATTGGTAGTCCTCACGATGGAGAGAGAATCACGGATAAGGACTGAAAATTTTCGGACGTTTTTCCTTCGGCGAAAATTGCACGATAGATAAATCGCACAATGTCTATTCAGCAGTCATCGCAGATGTATGTTTGCGGAAATAAACGTACGCGAATGCTAAGCGTACCTTGGTTCTTGACATTTAGCTCTTGCCGCAATAGATTTACATTGTACATCTCGCGTGCGCGACGTAAGCATGTTTTACAACACTGACCAAATAAAAGCGTCGGCGGAAATCATGTTTCTTTGTTCTCTTTTTTTTTGCAACAAAAATTTTACAGTCGCGTGAACCAGGTCGGCACTAAGTTCCTGACGTTGGACGCGACTAACGCGAGTTATTTGGACTGTTCGCGTTGCTTGAAATCCCCAAAAATTTGTGCACCTAAAGGGATCCTAAAATCATCTGTTTTACCAATTTAATGCAATAATTTTCGTGCGTATTACGAATTTGGAAATCCAGAATTAAAGTAAATGCACACAGAAAAATACATACTGTACGCAAGTATTAATTACTCGTTTCAAAAGTTTGTAGACTCAAATCTATCATCGTTCATCACACAAGCATCAAAATTTAATATATTCTGAATCCTAATAAGTTTGATACTTTAATCAAAAATATTAAATTAAAATAAATTCAACTTATTATTATACATTATACGAAGTTGTTTCTTCAATCAATTTTATAATATTTAAAAATAAATAAATTCTTGTTTTGACAGTTGTGACTACATAATAATGAGTTTTTATAAAATACGGCATATAAATATATATTTTAAGATTATTCAAGAAAATTTGTTAAAGATAACCGTTACTTAAAAGGAGAAAAGTATAATATAAATTGACTATAATCACATTTCTGCAGAATAATATTTTTCAACTCGTATACATACACATTTACAGGCGTTCATCGATCGCGTGACTTTCCGCGAGTCGTGCCTAACACTGTGGCAACTTTGAACTTGATCTATTAATAACACCGCAAGGAGATTAATCGCGTCGTGATCGCGTCCGTCATGAATCAACGGATCTGAAAATCGTTTTTTGATTTCTAGTCCGTCGCGCGTGTCCGCCTTGAAAAATATCTGGGCTGCACGAAAGTCCCAACGTTGTGTGCGGGCGAGGAGGAGGACAAAGTTTCTGTATTAACGCCATTTACTCTCATTTGCCGCGACAAACGTCGTCGCCATTAGGACCCCGCGGTGCGGTACGATCGCGACAGACGAGGGAGGTCGCGATTGTATTTGATTCGTCCTGGGACGAATAGAGGTACACGGCGTGCGCTAATAATACGTGTCCGTAGACTCGCGAGCGCCTTTCTTTGGTTTCTTTCGCCGCTTTCTTCCGTAATAATCGTTACGCTGGATAGCCCTCGGAAAAGGCGCCCCGAAGGTAAAGGTACGCGAAAGATATATACACCGATACCGGCACCCCCCCAATTATGTTTCATCAAGACTTTAATTCGGTACTTTGAACACCGTAACGCAACGACCCAGGACGGACGGAATTGCTCGCCGAGTACCTGTATCTGAAAAGACGCAGCTGGGAAATTAAATATCACGAGGAGCTTCGCCTCTCGGTATAGAGATACGTATTCTTTAAGAGTACAGCGCCAATTTGGTAATAGTTATTGCTGTAATTCCGCTTGGCGAAACCAGTTTGACATCTAAATGATGAAAATTTTAAAAGGCGCTTTGAAAACGGCAATTACAGTAATTTAATCATCGTCGATCTTACGGAACATATAATATTCGTCCTACTTTTGCATTATCTCGAAAATGTTCTGTAAAAGTCGATTTGAAAATTTAACTCAAATAGGAAAATAAAAAATTTAAATGTCGGGAGATGCGGGCAATACTATGATCATTCTAATATACCGTGGAACGAGATTAAGCTACGTTTAATCCGATATCTCTGTGCGCAATTGTATAAAGTCCGATGACGAAAAAGAATGCATTTATAATGAAGTTTTATCTGATAGTCTCACGAAATCTCCGGTGTTACTGTAACATTAAACGAACATCGGAGAGGCGTCACCATAGTTATCAATTATAACGTCGATAAAGCTGCCAAACTGAATCTGGGAAACATCGAGTAGCAAACCGCCCCTTATGCTCGTCGATTGAAATTTATTGACACGCCATAATTACACGTCACGGAAGTTGATTGTGCGGCGTTCTAATTCTCATTAGGCGCGTGCATTTAGGTAGTGACAAAAAATTCGCTTAAAAATTGATTTAGGAATTAATGGAAAATCTCGAAATTCGGTTTCCTCCGAAAAGAGCGACGCTCGCAAAATAACTCGAAATTATCGACAGGCACAGCGCATTTTAAAGAAAACCACTCCTCTCTTCTTTACGATATTGTAATATGTATTATATACAGGATCAGTCAATCTGTCCACGCCGATATCTCGGAAACTATTAAAGTTAGACGACAAATATAAAAAATTCTCTTTAATGGGATTACTTTGAGATGATTTTTAGTGTGATAGAACTGTACTCATACTCTATGAAATTTTGAGGGAGGAAAAGGTAGTCGAATTTTTTGATGAATACAGTTCCATCACTGAAAATCATCTCAATATAATCCCATTGAAGAGAATTTTTTTTACTTTGCGTCTAAATTCTGATAGTTTTCGAGATATGGATAGATTAAATTAAACATCCTGAATATATGATATAAAGACAAAAATATATAATAATATGTAATTATAATGTATAAGAAATGTAATACATTTAATATATTCATTAATACAGCAAAAATATCTTTTCTTTAGCCTAAAAAAAAAATATGAATGATTTTTATAGTTTCCTGAATATTAAACAATTCTAATCGTCAAGATGTTCTACGATGTGACACGCAAAATTTTAAATATATAATTATAACATAAATTAATTTAACGTTAGACCTTTTAAAATCTTGACTGATAGAAGGCAAAGTGATAAAATATTTTTAAAGTCAAGGTATTAAGTATTGATAACAGCAGAGATGATTCATTTTGTGGACATTTTTCTCGTGGAACTGTAATTTTCGATTCTCCGTTTTTTATTTAATATGAACAAAATACGAATCATCTGCAAGATTAACTCAAGCAAATTCCTTTATTGTGAAACGACAGTTGATTACGCATTTGATTGTAAATCAGGGGGAAAGAGCATACCCAAGGGTTTGTTCTCCCACGAGCGTTCCCGCAATATCGATTTGATAACGACGGATCGAGTGGTTGGAGAAAGAAACGAAGAGAACACTGTTCGAAAAAATCGGGGGGAGGGAAGGAGAATTGCATGCCACGAGCGGAGGTAAAGGTTGGCAGGAAAAAGTGCGCGCGTCGAATATACGTTACGTATATATATGTATTCGTTATCGTGAACCGGTTAAGCGTTTCCTACCTCTATTTGCGTTCTGTCGAAACATACTGTTTATCTTCAATCCGCGTGGATCGAAAAATATCGAAGAGATCGAGCATACAGGTTAATAGCACGCTCGAGCGTCCATGCTTCGAAATGTGCATTCAAACAACCAATAGTCGCATTGTGCTTAATTGAGCGAATTCCCCGCATCATTAAAATTCTAATGATCACTAAGTGTTATTGGAGATACCACCGGTAGGCGATCCTCTGCGAAAGTTGCGGGAGGTTCGCTTCTAATGCAGGCACGTTCGGAAATGATGTTTCTTGCGAGTTCTGTTCGGGCCAAAAGCTCCAAACGAAAAAGCGGAGGTAAAGGAATCGTACATGAACATATAATTCGAGGGCTGCTTATTCGTAAGGGAGAATATCGTAACATCAAGGATGTGGAATGCAAAAGGGAATTTCTGTCGGCGGCAACGGAGCACCGACGAGCAAGTGGAGCGAGTGGTGATGTACGTTTAATAACGGGAGGTGAGTCAGACTCGCTTCACGGTGTCGTAATAAAGAAGGGCGCTGCAATAGAAGCGGCTTTACTGCATATTAGTCGCGAGGATCGTAGATCCTTAGAGTACCCCGGAAATTTTTAGAAATGTATATATGAGTCAAAAAATTGAGTAAGTCAAAGCACAAATTTCCATCAGAAATCAATTCCGATAATTGTCAAGATGAATCATGTATGAATGCTTGCCTCTCGTCAGAGGCTTTAATCAAATTCTTCGAAGCGAATAAATCGTTGTGCATTTCTTTTTCTACAGTCGATAATAAAAATGAATGAATATATCGAAATGCGAACAGAAGTTAACTTTATGATCATAGACGTAATAAGAATAAACTGCACATTTCTATAAAGTTGTCACTATCGGTTTAGAAAAAGTGAGATAATTTGAATCATAGCTCTCTCTTTCCCTCTCTTAAATATCAAATTGAAGAGAGATATCGATATGTATTCAATTCCTTTTAACGGAGCATAGATGCTAAGATCAGAGAATATGCAATTTATATCTATTACGAAATAAATAAAATTCTAAAAATATACGAAACATCATTTTTTATTTTTTTTTTCAGATTATTCAATTAATGTTTTGTAAAAATATAACAGTTAAAAATTTATCAAGAACATACTTGTTAGAATTATTTTTAGAAATTTTTTATTTTACATTTCGTTGTCTGCTTGTCTTGAAGCTATTGCCGTTTCGTAGTCAACACAATTTCGTAAATGCTAATTCCGCGGAGATTTTGCATGCGACAAGAACAAGATTGCAAACTCACGTATACAGCGGTACTCCAGCTTCGTCTTTAAACCAGAAAACCATGTGCAGCGTGTCTTCACCAGGGGGAGTTATGTCACACGGCAATTCGGCAGGCCTTCCTTCAACTACGCTGATGTTCACCAAAGGAACTGAAAACAGATGTTTTATTTGCTTAAATAATCGTTTCATCATTTTTATAGTTGATGTGCAATATAAATTAATTAGAAGTACGTGAACTATACGTTTACTTGTTCTTTTAAGGAATAAAAATTCCTCACTTATATTTTTCCGAAACTTTGCGGAGGTCTGACAGCGAATTTCTCTCCAATCTCTGAAAGCTCGCCGCGAAAAACGAATTTTACGGACAATTTTTCCGGCAAACGTTTACGGACAAGGAACGACGCAGATATGCATGTAAATCGATAAGTAATATTCGCATGTGACTCAATATCAGAAATATCGGTGATTTGCTGATCACCGTCGACGTCGGTCGAATGATACGTGAAATCTCCGATTTCGTGATGGGATTAAGAGATCCAGCTTATGAAATTTCATTTTTCCACGAAACATCCTCCGATCGTTGTCGTCATGGTTCACGCCGCATATCTCTCTCTCTCTCTCTCCTTCCCCTTTCTCCTTCTCATTTTGGCCGGAGGCGCAATCCGGCTGGACCGATTCGAGTAAGTGGATAGCTCGTTGGTCAGATCTCGCATGGGAAGGCCAATTCCTTCCGTAAATTTCCGGTAGGCTATTTCCAAGAAACGAGTTTCCATTCGATTCGGTCGGCTGCCTCCGTTCTCCTCCCGCGTGACGAGGCGGACTCGGTGTAGCCGCTACACGGAGAGAAAAACCCGGGGGATAGGAAGTCCGTGGCGCCGTTTCGCTCGTGACGCAAGGGTCCTCCGGACTTTTTGTCGTTGACCGATGTGAGAAAGAAGGTAAGCGATCTCGCGTCTCGCCTCACCGCTCTCGATTTTGTCGCGCGCCGGGACATTGGGTCGCCGCTAGTTCCTGCCATCGAAACAACGGGGATGAAGAGACTTCCTATCCAAAATGAAGATAAAAATCTACCTTTTCGTCTTCCAAACCTTTTTGCTCCATAGAACAATATCAAGTTGAATCGATCTGTTTGTTACTATACTTATAGACTGATCGTGAGAAAAAGATAATTAAAGATTTATTTGTAAGATATAATGTGTACTGAAATGAAATCTTATTTAAATACGGTTAACAATATAATTTAAATAAAATTGTATTGTTAGCAAATAAACCATCTATTTTATTTTATTTTTTTACAATTAATAACAAAAATGAGATACTTATTCACCGAAATGTATATTCCGGCGTCACAATTAATTTTTTTTTTATAATCAATAAATATAAAAGACAACGACACATTGGCTTTCAACTGTTTTTTCAATGAACAAATTATTTTATGACTTAATGTTATCCATGCATATCCAGCTATTTTTTTCATGATTATTTCTGTCTTTAATAAAGAAATTAACGATTAAATTATATTTCACTAACAGTATTATATCGTGTTTAAATGTATTAGAAAAATAACATTGATGTACCAAACTATTTTATCAAAATCACAACATCGAATTGTAGAGCTGTTGTTTTAACGAATCTAAATACCAATCTCTTACCAAAGTCTTTCGTCAATAATTGACACGACGTTTACTTTAACGGGCAACTTACGCCATCCTGGCTTTGGGTGGAATTTTAAAAGACCTTATCAGCACGAGCAAGGGACAAGTATAAAGATTAGCATAGGCTTAGTATTTATTGCATGCCTCCGGCTCCAACGACGGGCATAAATATTGTTTAAGGGCGACTCTTTATCATATAAACGCCCCGACGTAACGGTGCTCATTTGAATTCCCGCTTTTTCCAGGGCATAAAATGGGCTTCACCGACGCGCAACAAGCCGTTTACTTCCCCTCCGGTTACCGGAGTAGTTGCTGGTGCCGTTGCTACGTCGGTGCAGCAACGGCAGCAGGGAAACCGCAAGCCTCCGCCATTATACGTGGAAAATGCAAGAAATCCCTTCACGGATTCGTTATAATTTCATGTACGTACCTTAACAACTCACGGTTGGTGTACCGTTTCATCTTTTTTACGACTTTTAATCACTGACAAATTTAAATATAATAGGGAACAGATTTTGGGAAAAAATATACACTTTTTGAGTGGAAATAAATTAACTTAATTATTTAATAGAAAAACAAAATCGTTTTAAACTTAATATTCCAGATTTCAAATACATACAATATTCATTATTCGATTATATATGTGATATCAAGAAGATTTTAACCTTTAAAGGATGGGAGTCTATTTTTGAAAATCTTGCCGTTTTTTCTTGAATAAGATTTGTTATAATTCATTATTTAATTGTATTTCTTGCTTCAAAATATGACACTATAGTGACTTCCCAGCTTTATAAGCTTAATGTTTACAAAATTATTGATAACGTTCAATTTGGTACACGTTTGTAAATAGGTGGTATACCTATTATCCAGTCCCCTTAATTAATTCATGTAATTCAATGTCAACAATCGCGGCTTTCATGCTGCAAATGTCTATTGATCTCGAGATATTGAACATTGTCTTCTGAAAATCTGCATTTACTCACACACTGATTATATTCAATTTATACACAAGCGAGCATGAAAATAACTGTCAATGGGCTAATCGTTCGCTGGCCCGACGCGTGTATTTTAAATAGCAGAGAAACCTTGAAAGCCGTTTCGATTAATGAAATTCCGCAACACGTCCGCAATTAACCCTCAAAGACCCGAGGCGCTGGTCGAAATGTCCAGCGGCGTGCTAATGGCAGAAGCGATGGTCGTGTAGCATTCGAAACGCATTTAATGAATTCATTATCGATCCAAATCGGTATTCGGTCGCGCGTTTCGCTCAGAGCTGTGCAAAACGGTTTCCGCGATTCCGAAATCGATACGACGTGAAATCGTTTCGCGTAAATTGTTACCGCTACGTGGAAACCGCTGATCCCTAATCTAATCCTAAAAATTAGAGACAAATTGAGAAGAGCAGTTTCGACTTTGTCGATTCATGAAATCCGGCGCGTCGTAACGTTGATTGGGCAAGTTTTTCGATCAATTCGTGTCGCGCATCGAGGAAGATTTCACTTTGCGCCGATTGGCAACGATCGTTTTTCGTTTTAACGCGACCGTCCTATTCCACATATAGTCGATGAGGGAAACGTAGCGAGAATAATACTGCAAAGTTCAGAAACTCGCGACGTAACGCGGACATTTCTTTTATAAAATAAAGTAAAAAGAAAGTCCTGAAGAGTCCATCCGCCGCGTACGAAGCGCCGGCGTGCAAAAATACAGCTCTCGAATAATGTCTAATGGGAAAAAAAAGGGATGTCACGAAGAGAGGATGAAGTTTCAACCTGCGCGCGCGAGGAACTGCTCGAAAAAGTTTAGTCAATATCTGCGGGGAAGTACGGGAAACGGATATGTCGCGTTCGGAATCGTAACGGACGTGTGTCTCTCGCGCGACACGTTTTTAACACGTTCAATTATATACCCACCGCGATAACGACGACAGATGTTCGGTTACATCGCCATGACGTTGTCACTCGCGCGTTTCAGAATGATGTCTTCATTAATAATTAACAGCGCCCGCTCGGCAGCTTCTCGAGCGTAATTACAGCATGGGAGAGCGTGCGCACGCGAGAAGAGTTACATAATTCTATTAATAATACCGGGCCATTACATCTGCTGGAGAGACCCGCGTGAATAATGAAAACTTCCCGACAAAAACTTCGCCGCGGGAGGCATTAATTGCTAACGAAGAGCGAGAGATCAAACTCATGATCTTAATGCGACCCGTCCCGGGGTAACATTTTGAGAATGTCGTCTCCCACATTTTCTTTTTCCATCCGTTAATATCGCGCAGCATGTGGTGCAGGGAAGATTGAACCGAAGTTTCCACCCGAAAAGAAGAGGAAAAAAAGGGGAAGACAGAGAGAAAGAGAGGCGAGACTACCGTAGGTGGACGTCGAAGTCCGTTGTGTTCTCCCTCGGGAGATTTTCGCGTGAACTTTTCTGAACTTATACCTCGGCGTTCTTCGTCGAAGCCGCGACATGACAGTGAAAGCAAGTATTTTCATAAATCTCCAGGAGCGACATAGATTGATCGTGTCGCTGTATCGACGTCGCCATTACACCGTAATCGCTCGGGCCCGGATATACGTTAATGGACGATGTCGCTATATCGCTATACAACTTAGGCACACATGTGTGGTCGTCTCAAAACCATGGATCTCCGAAAAGGATGGAAGAATGTTCGTACATTTCGCGTTTAGGTCGTGTATGTTGTGTATGCACATTATGTGCATATTTACATTATAGTGTCTATGTTATATCAGGATTGTCACAAATTCTTCATCCTAACATTCCGTAACTTTTCCCAGATTTCCAGACAAAATTTCATGATATTCCCTCTGATGCTTTCAATAACAATTTCAAATTCTTGTATTTTCATCCTGATTTGGAAACCGTCAAATATTTTGTGGGAGGTGCAATTTAACATAGCAATATAAATTATTATTAATGTTTACTGTTTGCATTTAAATGTTAAATTTGTAGTATTCCGAAACTACATAGATATGACGTATGCATATTAAATTCCCTTAAGGCTAAGAATTTTAATTTTCCAGAGAATTTTGCAAAATTTCCTAATTTTTCCCTGATTTCTCTGACTATTTTCAATTTTTCTGGTATTTCTCTGATTTCGCTAAATTCCAGTTTTGTGACTTCTCTGTACATTCATACTCGAGATAACATTATCCGAATTTTTTGCTCGGTTTTTTTATCGCGCATCGTGTGAATTCGCTAAAATTTCATTATGATAAACTGACCATAATGATTTCATGTTTAACATACAAGTCATGATGCTTATGAATGTATTTGTCGCGAATTAGTCCGCACTAGAAACAATTTCGCCGCATTATGAGCGTAGTTGGTACGGTTGGACTGATTCAAGGATAACGGCCGAAACACAGCGTTACATCCGTTATTTAGAGGTAGTTAAGTATCCTGAGCATCCTCCTACCATCGGAACTCTCCTCTCAGGCTAGTAGCCTCAACTTGACAAACCCGTTTGCTACCAC